GGAAATGCTGGTTTCAGCTGTGATAGAAGAACCTTTACTGGAGACTCCTTCTGGGTAGAGTTTCCCATTGACCCAAAGTTGGACCACTCCAGTGTTGGAGTCCCAGGTCACACAGGTGTGTCTCAAAGACTCCGACTCCGTCTTAAAGGTAGTGACTTCCTGGTGGATATGTACGGAACAAGTGTCTGGAGGCTGAATGCTGATCAGAAAGGCCTTTTCCTTCCCGAGAGTAGCAAGAGAGAAGACCGTATAGGAGCGTGAAAGATCCGAATAGGAGCGTAGACAGATGCTGACTTTCTGCAATGGCTTTGTGATTGTAGGTCTTAGAATGACACGAGATGTGTTGGCTTCACGGGGGAAGACGAAGACTTTACCTTTCAAGTCTAAGGAAGAAGACAGACAAAGATCATTACTGATACATATCAAGGTTTTAGATGACTCAGGATTTCGTCATAGCTAGAAGAATCTAAAATAAAAAACAATTAGATACTCTCATATATATCTAAGAGAGATTAGTATATTTTATTTTAATTTGTTCATAAATATTTAGTTTCTATTCAGAAAGTAATGTGCATCAGCACTTTTGTCTTCCTAGATAGCCAATGACGGGTATGGCTTCTCTCTAAATGTTCTGTTCACATTTTAATAAAAGTGTAGGCCTCAGTTGTAGAAGTATCCCAACACTATTAGGCATAAATACTGTCTGACACATCCATTAATATATTATTAAAGCGGAGTTCCAGCTGAAAAAGAAAAAAAAATGTCAGCAGCTACAAAAACAGCAGCTGCTGACTTTTAAAATACAGCCACTTACCTGTCCCTTGGTCCAATGGTGTCCTCACCACCGCTGGTTTCACTGGCCGTCTTCTCTCCTTGGTGCTGGCATCTTTAGTGTAGGCACCAGGCTATGACAGCTTGCGGCTTCACAGCCGGGTGCCCATTGCACATTCGTGAGAAGCGCTGTGCTTTGTGAATGGCCCCGTAGTCTTCTGGTCCCAGAAGACTATGGGGAGGGAAAGAGGCCAACTTTCGTTTCCGATCGCCTAGGCCACGGGTGTCAAACTGGCAGCCCTCCAGCTGTTTCCAAACAACAAGTCCCGTGAGGCATTGCAAGATTGACAGTTACAAGCATGGCTCCCAAAGGTAGAGGCATGATGGGACTTGTAGTTTCCTAACAGATGGAGAGCCACCAGTTTGACACCCCTGGCCTAGGCGATCGCAGCGGAAGTGGGAGCGGGTACTTGTCAAATTCGGGTACCCACTCCCCAAAGGTGCCAATCCTTAATGGGTTAGGTCCAACAAGGTGCATGACATCTCCTGGACTTGTAAATAATCTCTATTATTTACATTGGGCAGCTTTATGGTATTCCTAAAAGACAGTTATTGCTGTAGTTCTAGGAGCAGCACTGATCCTTCGGATCTCATAATCTTCAACAGTAGAGTCACACGCAGCTGTTTTGCCTACCCCTCCCCTCCTCCTGCCCAGTCACAGAAGCCTTTGTAATATGTGAAATCTTTTACAGAATACAAAAGCTTCTCTGAATAGGCCACAGAAGGGAGGGATGGGCATAGCTGATCTATGTGCTTCTCTCCTCTCTCACAGTACTACGTTGCTCAGTGTATTCTCTGGCAGAACCATGAAGCTGTCAGATATAAATAATAGAGATAGGTTCAGGAGGTGACATGTACCTAATTGGACTTAAGTCATAGTGGGCCTTCACTTGTTACAAAGTGGCCAAATTCCTGGAATTCTGCTTTAATAATGATATCAGTACATTTCATTAGTATGCTAATGCTAGCAGGTTCCCCTATGACATCAAAGGACAATTGTACCTTTGATAGTAACTCCTTTATCTTTTAGATTTCAGCTGTTGTTTTTCTACCTCTGATGGAGTTCTAGAACAAGGAGCAGATACAGAAAGAATGGAGCTGGTATAAAGATTATTCCAAAAAAATACCACTCCTAATATTAGTGATAATTAGCGGCTCATTATTCCTTTTGATGGTCTCTATGTGCAAACTTATTTACACAAATATTAAGTAACATAAATTATATGTGACAAAAAACAACAAATTATATGTTATAATAGTGCCCACAAAGCACTATACAATATAAGTCCAGTGTGATCAATAATGATTTACAAAAAACAAATTGTCCAAAAATTTTTTTACTATGTGAATCCTTTGTGACTCCCAGTACAGAAATAAATAAACCACGCCCTGTGCTTCTCATACACCCCCTCTTAGGTGCGCACTCACCAGAACATAGCCTTTAATGAGCCTTATTGCATAAATTCCAGAAATCGGGGTCATCAGAACACGGCCTTTTTTGTTAGGACCGGGAGGTTCCTCCAATAATCATCCATGATAAGAATGGCAGCCAAGATCATAATATATATTCCTCTCCATAGTTACATAGAAAGAGAAGAAAAATTTGCTCCAATCGTGTATTACCAAAGGTAAACAACTTTAATTAGCCAAAATATTGCACTTACAACATTCCAAAAATCGTTAAGCCTTATATAAAATAGCCTTTCAGTGATACAGATATCACAGGTGCTCTCACCACCTCTGGATCTGCCGGACAGAACGCCGTCTCACCACCTCTGGATCTGCCGGACAGAACGCCGTCTCACCACCTCCGGATCTGTCGGACAGAACGCCGTCTCACCACCTCCGGATCTGCTGGACAGAACGCCTTCTCACCACCTCTGGATCTGCCGGACAGAACGCCGTCTCACCACCTCCGGATCTGCTGGACAGAACGCCTTCTCACCACCTCTGGATCTGCCGGACAGAACGCCGTCTCGTCACTTCCGGATCTGCCGGACAGAATGCCGTCTCACCACCTCCGGATCTGCCAGACAGAACGCCGTCTCACCACCTCCGGATCTGCCAGACAGAACGCCGTCTCACCACCTCCGGATCTGCCGGACAGAACACTGTCTCACCACCTCTGGATCTGCTGGACAAAACGCCGTCTCACCACCTCCGGATCTGCTGGACAGAACACCTTCTCACCACCTCTGGGTCTGCTGGACAGAACGCCGTCTCGTCACTTCTGTGATGGTGCAGCGGACCAGGAGTGACGCAGATACGGAGTTCTGTCTGGCAGATCCGGAGGTGGTGAGACAGCATTCTGTCCGGCAGATCCGAAGGTGGTGAGACGGCGTTCTGTCCGGCAGATCCGGAGGTGGTGAGACGGCGTTCTGTCCGGCAGATCCGGAGGTGGTGAGACGGCATTCTGTCCGGCAGATCCGGAGGTGGTGAGACGGCGTTCTGTCCGGCAGATCCGGAGGTGGTGAGACGGCGTTCTGTCCGGCAGATCCGGAGGTGGTGAGACGGCGTTCTGTCCGGCAGATCCGGAGGTGGTGAGACGGCGTTCTGTCCGGCAGATCCGGAGGTGGTGAGACGGCGTTCTGTCCGGCAGATCCGGAGGTGGTGAGACGGCGTTCTGTCCGGCAGATCCGGAGGTGGTGAGACGGCGTTCTGTCCGGCAGATCCGGAGGTGGTGAGACGGCGTTCTGTCCGGCAGATCCGGAGGTGGTGAGACGGCGTTCTGTCCGGCAGATCCGGAGGTGGTGAGACGGCGTTCTGTCCGGCAGATCCGGAGGTGGTGAGAGCACCTGTGATATCTGTATCACTGAAAGGCTATTTTATATAAAGCTTAACGATTTTTGGAATATTGTAAGTGCAATATTTTGGCTTATTAAAGTTGTTTATCTTTTTCTTCTCTTTCTATGTAACTATGGAGAGGAATATATATTATGATCTTGGCTGCCATTCGTATCATGGATGATTATTGGAGGAACCTCCCGGTCCTAACAAAAAAGGCCGTGTTCTGATGACCCTGATTTCTGGAATTTATGCAATAAGGCTCATTAAAGGCTATGTTCTGGTGAGTGCGCACCTAAGAGGGGGTGTATGAGAAGCACAGCACATGGTTTGTTTAATTATTTATTTCTGTACAGGGAGTCACAAAGGATTCACATTTTGGAATTTTTTTTTGGACAATTTTTTTTTTTGTAAATCATTGTTGATTACACTGGACTTATATTTTATGTGGGCACTATTATAACATATATAATTTGTTTTGTTTATTTTTTGTCATATATAATTTGTCACTTAATATTTGTGTAAATAAGTTTGCACATAGAGATCATCAAAAGGAATTAGTGTAACACACATATATATATACAGTATATATATATATATATATATACATACAGTATATACATATATATATAGTGCGCCGCTAATTATCACTAATATTAGGAGTGGTATTTTTTGGAATAAGTTTTACATAGTAATTTAAAGTGGCAGCTGATTGGATATAATATTGAATATTTAAAAGCATCAATATTTGCATGTTTATTGATTAACCCACTTTAAGAATCGCTCTATAAAATACCGGTATATCGATTATATTTATCTAATGTCGTTTCACGTATTAACAGTATATTGAGAAAAAGATTTTAGCAAAATTATAACATCACAAGAAAGAACTTTTATTTTAGCCCTCAGAAAAAACTCTCATCATTAGGAATCTCCAATGTTCGGTTGTTTTGGTTACTTCATGAGAATATTGATTCCTTTTCAAGTGATTTTTCACTTATAATTGTCATTGTCACCTCTCGTTGTTGATGTTCATGAAGAATGAATCAACATTGTCAGACTTACTCTGTACAGAAGGTTGGAGGATCTTAATAGTTAAAGTGTATACAGTTAAGATGACAGACTTACGCAAATTTGTGGGCTGGAGAAGAACATTTCCTTTCATTTCATAGACTAGAGACTTCCAATTAATGACATTTCCTTGAAGATCACCAGATATGACTTCCTGAAAGTCTTCTGGAGTCAGGACATAATCCCACATGTGGACGTCACTTATTTCACCAACCAATGACCGAGAAGCATTAAACCCTCCGCCGTAAGAACCTTGTTCTTGCCCGAGAATAATGCTGCTTTTAGCTGCAATAAGGGACTGTCCCGAAGCATATCTTGTGGTGTTCTTCCCATTGACACACAGTCGAACCACACCAGTTTGCGAGTCCCAGGTCACACAGATATGGTTCCAGTCCGAAGGCTCTGAGTCCCCCTTGAAAACATTGCTTGAATAGCCTGTGTATACCATATAGTTGGTGGGAGCCTGGAATCTGATTAGAAAAGCATCTTTGTATGTTGGAGTAGCTAAAGAGAATAGAGGATACCAGCGTGAAAGTTCACTGAAGGTACGTAGACAGACGCTGACTTCCTGCAATGGCTTTGTAATTGTAGGTCTTAGGATGACATGAGCTGTGTCGGTTTCTTTGGGGAAGACGAACATTTTACCCTCCAAGTCTAGGGAAGAAAACACACAAAACTCATTACTGATACTTATCAAAGCTTAGATAAGGAACAATAAACTCAGAATTTATTTATAGATAATAGAATACAAAACAGAAATAATTAGATACACTCATACTGTACATCTCAGAAGATCATTATAACAATCACCTGGGTGATTGTTGTGGAAAATCACCACACTTTTCCAATTTCTATCTGTCTGCTATAAACAAAAATGTCATAGGCAAACCCGTCTAGTAGTACAGCCCAGTCATTTTTAGTTCAGTAAAGCCTTCTTTGGTCCTTTAGTCCTTTGAGCATAGTATAGTATAAACTATTAGGTAGACTTAATTCCACAAAGTCCTAATTTTAAGGCAGTTCCTTCAGATATGCAAATGTCTCACTGCTATGCATTGACTATCTGCAAGCTTGGGGTAATTAGTCTATATATTTCAGTCTGTTTGTGGTGATTGATTTTCACCTCCTTTTTTCCTCTCTATGATCTAAGCCTCAATCATCTTTTATGATTTTGGCTGGTCTGGCTTTGACCAATTCCAGCCTCCCCCATTCATGTGTTCCTTATCAGTTCCTAATTGGGGTGAGGAAAGATTCCTCATTTGATCATCTCCTGTAAATTTACACCAGCTTATGGAGGAAGTCACAGATGGGGGGGGGGGGGACATGGGTATAGTAATAGATAGGGTATTGTCCTGCTTGAGCAGTTGAATACAGCAATTTAACTAAAGCAGGAAGCAGCTACAACAAAGAACTCTACTCTGATCCACTCTAGACTGACTGCAGGCAAACACCCTGAGAAACATCTACTACAAATCTGATTCCCACTCCATCTACCTTTTAATCTGCCCCCTCTACTCCTCCTTTTCATATTATTATCCTGTGTTCCCAAAATCTCATTTCTTTACCCCTCTGCTCCACCCCAAAGCTTATACATCTCATCCTCACTTCTACCATCTCCCTACTACTGCTCTCATCACCTCCTGATGATACTTTACTCACCTGCTGACCCAAACACCAGGACAGGAAGACATGTGAGCTCATGTACATCCCGCTCCCATCTTACTTGCCTCACCCTCCTTCTTCTCCTAACCTCTGGGGATATCTCCCCAAACCCTGGTCCTCCACTATTTCACCCCCACACCAGGCATCCTCTTTCTTCTCCTAACCTCTGGGGATATCTCCCCAAACCCTGGTCCTCCACTATTTCACCCCCACACCAGGCATCCTCTTTCTTCTCCTAACCTCTGGGGATATCTCCCCAAACCCTGGTCCTTCACTATCTCACCCCCACATCAGCCACCCTCCTTCTCCTAACCTCTGGGGATGTCTCCCCAAACCCTGGTCCTCCACTATCTCACCCCCACATCAGGCACCCTCCTTCTTCTCCTAACCTCTGGGGATGTCTCCCCAAACCCTGGTCCTCCACTATCTCACCCCCACACCAGGCATCCTCTTTCTTCTCCTAACCTCTGGGGATATCTCCCCAAACCCTGGTCCTCCAGTATGTCACCCCCACACCAGGCATCCTCTTTCCTCCGGGAATAGCCACAATCCGCTCAATTTAATCTCAATCCCCATGCTCCAAAAAATCACCCTCCCTTTTTCATGTGCGCTCTGTCTGTAATAAGCTCACCTCTGTCCATGACCTTTTTGTCTCCCGCTCCCTTAACCTACTAGCGATTACAGAAACCTGGCTCCAAGCAGCAGATTCCACTTCTCCCACAGTACCTTCCCATGGAGTCCTCCACTGGACACACTCGCCCAGACCCAGTGGTCGGAAAGGTGCTGGAGTTGGTTTGCTTCTATTCCCACTGAGCACCTTTCAAGTCCTCCATAACCCTCCCTCTCTATCCTTCTCTTCTTTTGAGACTCACTGCATTCGGCTCTTTTCTCCCATTTCTCTGAGGATTGCAGTGATCTGTTGGTCTCCTGGACCATTGTTGCTCTTTCTTGATGACTTCTCTGCCTGGCTACCCTACTTTCTCTCCTCGGAAATACCCGCTATCATTCTCAGAGATTTTAACATCCCCATTAATGTGAACAACCCGGCTACATCCCAACTCTTCAACATAACCTCATCTTTTGCCTTAGCAGTGTATACAGTCCCCCACTCACTCTGACGGGAATACATTAGACCTTGTTTTCTCCCATCTTTGCACTCCCTACAACCTCACAAACACCCCCTTTCCTCTTTCTGATCACAATCTCATCACCTTCACAGTGTCCTCGTCTTCAAACACCTATCCCTCCAAGCAGCCAACAATTACCCGCAGAAACCTTTAACCCTTCTCTTTTCTACTCTGCAACTGACCTCCTCTATGACAGAATCTCTCCCCTGTCCTGCCCTGACCTGGCCACTGCTGTCAACAACAGTTCACTTTCATCCACACTAGACTCACTTGCTCCTCTAACTACATGAAGCATCAGGCCCCGACCGTTACAAACGTGGCAGACTGACAGCACCAGAAATCTTAAGAGACATTCTGGACTCCAACCTATCCTTCCAGCCCCAAGTCCAATCTTTAACAAACTCATGTAGACTCCACCTCCGCAACATGCAGACTCCACCTCTGCAACATCGCCAAAATACGCACGTTCCTAACCCCAGAAACCACTAAACAGATCATCCACTCCCTCATCATATCACGACTCGACTACTGCAACTCCCTCCTCACTGGCCTGCCTCGCCGCTGGTTATCCCCTCTTCAGTCCATCCTGAATACGGCTGCCAGATTCATTCACCTTTCCAACCGCTCTGTTTCTGCCACCCCCCTCTGCCAATCCCTCCACTGGCTTCCAATTGCACAACGGATCATCAAATTCAAAATCCTAACACTGACGTACAAAGCTGTCCCACCATACTGCCCCGAACTACATCACTGACCTAATATCCAAGTACCACCCAACACGCACACTCCGCTCTTCACAAGACCTCCTTCTCTCTAGTTCCCTGGTCTCCTCCTCCCATGCCCGCCTCCAGGACTTCTCCAGGGTGTCACCCATCCTCTGGAACTCCCTGCCCCACCCCATCAGATTATCACCTACTCTCCTCTCCTTTAGTCGCACCCTGAAAACCCATCTCTTCAGGGAAGCCTACCCCACCCCCTGCTAACTTGCCGACCTCCTCCACTCTTTCTACCACTCCATCCCCCACAGCTATCTCCTCCTGTACCACCATCCCCTTCCTCCTAGATTGTAAGCTCGAAAGGGCAGGGCCCTCGATCCCCTCATGTTTTGCATTGTATTGATATTGTTCTGTCACATTGTCTGTCCCCCTTTGTAATGTACAGCGCTGAGCGAACCATTGGCGCTTTATAAATACTGTATAATAATAATAATATAGTCGTGCGCTGGAGAGATTGTGGCGTAAAACCAAATCTCACCAAGCATTCACCCAATATAAATCTGCTTTCTTAACATACAATTACTCCCTCCATGCTGCCAAACAAGCCGACTTTGTCACTCTTATTTATACCTTGTCATCCAGTCCTCGTCGTCTCTTCTCTACTTTTAACTCTCTACTTTCCCCACCTCCATTCCCACCCAGTTCCTCACTCACTGCTTACAAGATTGCCAATTCATTTAAAAAACAATATTGATGTAATTTGTAGGGGCATCTCCGCTACACAGACATCCGTCCCACTTAGCATATCCTCTTTTGACCTTGCTACTACTGAAGAGGTCACTAAAGCATTCTCAGAAGCCCGTATCACCACCTGCACGCTACAGTCTACAATCGCCTGAGCTCCCACTTCACCGACAACAACCTTCTTGACCCTTTACTGTCTGGCTTTCGCTCACTACACTCCACTGAAACTGCCCTACTAAACCTCACTAATGATCTACTAACTGCTAAAACCAATGGCCACTACTCCGTACTCATCCCAGCCAATGGCCACTACTCCGTACTCATCCCACCCAATGGCCACTACTCCGTACTCATCCCAACCAATGGCCACTAGTCCGTACTCATCCCAGCCAATGGCCACTACTCCGTACTCATCCAAACCAATGGCCACTACTCCGTACTCATCCCAACCAATGGCCACTACTCCGTACTCATCCCAACCAATGGTCACTACTCCATACTCATCCCAACCAATGGCCACTACTGCGTACTAATCCCAACCAATGGCCACTACTCTGTACTCATCCCAACTAATAGCCACTACTCCGTACTCATCCCAACCAATGGCCACTACTCCGTACTCATCCCAACCAATGGCCACTACTCCGTACTCCTCCCAACCAATGGCCACTACTCTGTACTCATCCCAACCAATGGCCACTACTCCGTACTCATCCCAACCAATGGCCACTACTCTGTACTCATCCCAACCAATGGCCACTACTCCGTACTCATCCCAACCAATGGCCACTACTCCGTACTCATCCCAACCAATGGCCACTACTCTGTACTCATCCCAAATAATAGCCACTGCTCTGTACTCATCCCAACCTATGGCACCTACTCCATACTATTACTACTTGACCTCTCTTCAGCTTTTGATACTGTTGACCATCTCCTCCTCCTCAAAAAACTCCACTCTCTTAGGAAAAGTAAAATAAATAGACTTTATAGTCTATGTGAATATATATATAGGATCAGTCTGTACATCTCTGCTGAGCTTACATATTGTAGTAGTTAGTCATGGGTTAGCTAGCACCCTTCCTCCTAGTTTGTATGAGGATAAGGTTTCATGTGAATTTTAGCTAATGAAAGTACATAAAGGTTTATTAGGCATGCACAAGTTAAGAATACAAGTTTTATACCGTAATACACATTGATTAGGATATTTATATGGGAAAAAACATTGCAATAAGTATATATATATATTTCTATATGTTTTATGTGATTCGGATGATAGATAAAGCTATAATATTGTATCTTGTATAAGGTCACTTACACATGGCTCATGCCCACCCACCCCCATTCCTGATTCTTATGTAATGTCAGCGAGGCTCTGAATAGAGGAACTGAGAATTGCATGTTAGAGGCTGGGGGGGGGGGGGGGGCAAGGCTGAAAGTTTGTTCAACGTCTATGCATTTGTCAAAAGATGCTATAGTGAGACTACAAGGTGCAGTAGGAAAATTAGCCCACTTTTAGGAGAAAGTGGAGGCTGTATCTGCTCCTTATTGGGTAAAAGGAAGAGAACAAAGACTGGATGGGCTCCACACGAGGAGATACGATGAGCTTGGCAGACATACACACACTGCTTCTTACATATGAATACATATACAATTTTTATCTCAAGAACATAATTACATTATTAACATTGTTATACATTTTGTATATTTTATTATTGTTCTTGCAATCTTGCGCTATATTTATATTAAACCCATTTTGAATTTTTACATAAGAATGATCTCACCGATAAAAGGTATTTCTGTAAGTTTACAGAACGTCATAAGAAGCGTCATAAGAAATGTGATATTTAACATTACCAGTTCGTGACCCTCAGGTTCACCATGCTGAAAATGCAGAGACGCAGCCATGCATAGTGAATACAAAGAGGAGCTGGAGTAATGGTGGAGCCAATGCATGACCAGGTAACTAAAGATGGCTTGTCTCCGGTCCCCTCAGACCATTACCTCCTCCCTTTTCCAGTAAGTAACCACTCAGACAACAGGCTGGAGTTAACGGCCAAAACAGCCATTTATCGCAACAATCAATAAATAACATTCGAAAATAATGTAAACAGAGTACAACTGGAGCTTCGAGATCCTAGTAGGCATCAAGAAAAGAAACTACATGCGTCCTAATTAAAATAGGCCTCCAGCCGCAACACCACCAACTCGGAGACAACCACCGCAGATACCAGCATCAGAACAACTGGGAGCCGTACCTCAGAAGGGTCCCTACAAAGTACCTTTTTTGTGCCCACAGTAACCTATGAGGATCTTGCACCCCGCCGGCTACCCATCAGCACCAACCATCACAACCATAACAAGCAAGTAAACAATGGGTAGGCGGGAGGGAAGTTTTCCTTGGCTAATCTTCCTTTCCGAATGAAGACCCCCCTGCCACACCCTGTATGACCAGCCCCTGTGGCTCCACTCACTCCCACTTTAAAACACCACTTAGAACCCCCATCATGCTTTCCTACAAACTAATAGTACTCCCAGCTCCCAAACCCTTTAACCCCTGTTGTGCCGGTTCTTTGTTCGTGTTTTTCTTCTTTTATTCCGGGCCTCCCTATACAGATGAAAAAAGATCCAGGAAAGGTCAGGGCAGGCAGGAGATAGGTGAAATAAAAGAGAGAGAGAGCTAACGTTGGTACATGTGTAGTCAGTCCAACAAAGCAGCATGCAGGAGGTAGGAGCAGAGAGGCCACTGAGGATGCAGGGAGTCAGACACACAGGAGATACTGGAAATGCAGAAGAGACTAAGCCCACAGGAGGTCAGGAGCTAGGAACTGGAACAAGCAATTCAAACTGGAACAGGGAATATAAACTAGATCAATGAACTTTTGGAACAAGATCCTTGGGCTAAATATAACCTATTTCTCAGGCAATTAGCAGGGGAGGGATGCAGGCAACCATCTACGGTAAGTAGATCAGTAGGATGTGCCAGGAATCAGGAACCAAACTGAAAAAAAGCTAAAAAGAGTTTTGTTATGATCCGAGCAGGCCTACCAGTGGCAGAGGCAACCTCCGGGGATGTATAGGTACCGGGAGAGCCAGATGTGAGGAGGACGGCAAGACCTAGAAAGATGGGTCACGAGCAGCGGTCCCGTGGGGTAAGCGAGGTACAGAATCGGCAAGCAAAGAGTAGTCAAGTCACACGCAGGGTCAGCAGGATAAGTCAGTCCGCAGATAGGTCAAACAAGCCGAGGATCAGGAGTGGAGAAGGCAGAGTAGTCAGGGCAATCCGGGTCAAATGCAGGAGAAGGCAGCGTAGTCAGGAAAATCCGGGTCAAAGCACAGGAGAAGGCAGCGTAGTCAGGGTCAATCAGGGTCAAAATGCAGGTACAGGAACTCAGGATCACAGATAGACCCTGCGGCGATTAGTGACAGTGCAGGGCATCTTTAAATATTGCGCCCTGCACTGTCATTGGCCATCCAGGACGCGCCCCCGGGCTGTCATTGGCCGCTTGAGGCACGCCCGCGGCTCCTACTGCGCATGCGCGCCGTCCTGTCATCTGCGGCCCGCCGGGACCTGGTGCTTGTGTCCCGGCGTGAGCCGTCGCCAGTGCGCGTGCGCCAGCCGACAGGACGCCGCGATCCCTGACAAGTTTATTGAGACAAACACCACACTTCCAGCACCAACACCAGCAAACCATAAACAAACCAAGTGACAAAATAAAACTTATCCTGTAAAGCCCCAATTAACAACCCAACTAACTACAGCATACACAAAATGGAGGGAGCACACATGGCAGGACAAGGTCAGGAGACAAGGGGAGCAGGGAGCCAGGTACTGGGAGCAGGAAGCAGGATACAGGGAGCAGGTCACAGGAGCAGGTTTCAGGGTCAGGTACAAGGATCAGGAACGAGGCTCAAGCAAGGACACAGCTTGCGGGAAAAATACTGAAGCACTGAACCTCAGTTATGGGCCGGCTTATATACCTCTTAGCAGTCCACATCAAGTGCAGCCCAATTACCTGTACAATTCAGCTTCTGGGAGACACCCGCTTCTGGTACTACATCCTTCACTTCCAGGAACAACAGTGCCACCCAAGTAATGATACAGCTCCTGACATAGCATGACGCTAAATTGTGAGGAAGAGTGGAAGGCTGGGTAGGAAGTGGCCATTGAGCAAGGTAGAATAATCACCAGGTGTGGTGGGCAACACCCACAGCTATTAGCTCTGTGTGGCAGGAAAGTGAGAATATAACGCATGCTAGCAATGCCTCCAGTGGAGCCACAGCATCAAGTAGGTAGGGATAAACCACAAGATTGTGGAACCTCAGGCACCAGTACATCCAAAGGTGGCAGATCAGCTGCACTGTACAGCTGATCTGTGATAGTCGCTTTTTCTTGTATTACGTCCAGCCACTGAACAGTCTTCATGGCTATTATCTCTCAGATAATAGACTCCAATGTCTTTTTAAGATGAAACCTGCCTTGTCCTTGCAGTTAAAATCTATGCACTTAAGCGCAATGAAGAACCAACCATAAGGACAATCCCATAAAGTGCATTCACTGGATAGCAACCACTGCAGCTGTTCACATCATACAGATGAATCCAACAGTTCCAAAGAAAACATAGTGCTGTGGTAAGTGCAGTGATAAAAATACCTCACTAGGAGGTGTACCTTTATTAAGATAAAACAATGGGTAAAAAGTGAATACACAAGTCTGTGGCTTAGGAAAAAAGCCTGGGTCAGAATGAGCGGCCCCGTCCGCTCTGATGGAAGTCTGCGTGATGGTAGTAACCGCCTGTCCAACAGTGACCACGTGGTTGTGGCATCCAGGGATTATGTCATTGCGATGTCCGAGAGACGGGGGGAAGAACCAATGTGTGGCCACAAGCTAGAGTGGAGGCTGGGCACCAGGACAACATGTTTCGCGCACATGCGCCTTTTCAAGTCCAAGATGGACGTGGTTAGTGACCATTTTATAGGAGACCATAAAGCCAGCTCCAAGAAGTACAGGGGGAGGAGACATGGACAGAGCGGACGGCTCGTCCCGCCTATACAATATCAAAATGCTGTTCACAAGGATTTAATTAGAAGATGAAGAAGGGGATATCATATCAAAAATAAAAAAAACATGTGCAAAAGGAGCGCCTTCCTTATTTTAAATAATAACATTACATGCTATCATAAAATGGAATAAACGGCATGACGTCATATAAAGAGTCCTGCACATATAGTGAGGAACTCTACCTAAAGACCATTTCACTATAGATTTTTTATGTTGCTATTAGGTCTAGTCATCTAACGTGTTTTTATATATTTTAGATACAGTACTGCAGCTATATTTGCGTTTATTTTTTGTGAAGAGAATGTAGCCATCAACCGGACAGTATTTATGAGTTTTATTTTTATTGTCATTTATTTTAGCCTGATTTTAATATGGTAACTTTTACTTTATTTATTACCCAATTTAATTAATAATAATTACTAACCGAGTTGTTGTAAATTCTTTATATATTTGGCTTTTTCCACAGATGCCTCCTTTCACACAAATATCCATCCACTGAACAATATTTGTGGCTTTTGCAAAGATGAAACCTAGCTCACCTCTGTCACTTGTGGCTGGAGAATTGTGGACCCACTATGCCAACTGCAGGTAGGGGGGTGGAGAGCAGGGGACTTGGGATCCCCTAGGGTTCAGAGTCTAAGCACCATCCGGTTTTCACCAGAGCTCCTGATGGTGGTGGAGATGTGTGTTGCTGCATGCTGTTGTCACGTTTTGACACCCAAGGTTCATCCTCCACAAGG